AACCGTACATGAAGGTCATAAAGTCACAGATCATTTCATATCAATTCATAAGTCTTTGCATATCAGCTCATAACAAGTACATGTAATGACCGACTACTGAGTACTTAGCCTAGAGATTAAATCCTTTCTAGGTGGGCGATCAATAGGTTTCATGACTACTGATTGGTCTCATTACATACATGGGTTAATCGGCCGGACTTTATACTAGACTACCATGATTTTGTCAATTGATCGGACTCTATACCAGGCTACCATGACCATTAGACAGAATTATAGGCCCTACTGTCTATTCCATGACTATTTTGAACTTTTCTTGATATTAATTCATTTCATACGCCACATGCATAGATCTTGATTTCATAAAAGATACAGCTCATTTGGTATATAATAACATATCAAGAAGTCTCAAATAAGTCACATGGTCCATTTTTGTATGGTCAAAATATAACTTGCTTAAACAGTCAAGTAAATCATTCAACCAAAAACAATTCAGATTAACACATAAAAATATAATCGATGACAAAAATTTCACTTTAAACTTTTGAAATCTCAGAAGGGTAAGTACCACCTACCTTTGTCTGGCTGCTCGAGTGGAACTACTTTAGATCTTTTAAACTAGTATCGTACTTATCAAATGCATAGGTTTCCTAATTAGTTATTATTTCCTATTAATGAATAAATATACAAATTCCAAGCGAGTAGAAAATTCATGTCTAGACCATTACATGCATCCTAGCAGCGCATTTCTAAATTGGATGTTTCTATTTTTGGAAGGTTTCCATTTTTAGAACGTTTCCTAATTTGGAAAGTTTCCCTTTTGTAAAGTTTCTTAACTTTAAAAGAAAGTAATTATTCATAATCATATTTATCATCTTGACTATTATCTTACAATGTATATATATATATATATATATATATATGTATATATATTATTCATCATTATTGTTATTGTCCTTGTCATCGCTATTTTATGTATTACCATTTATATATTTGATGATTAGTTCCTATTATCTTTTATTTTACTTCCATTTTTGCGCATGTATGGATGTTATTACTATTTATGTATATATATTGGTTTATTATTATAATTATTGACTTAGTTTACTCCACTTGTATTTATATTTTCATTTTATTTTCGTTTTTATCTTTAATTTACTTCATCTATAAATATATTGTTATTATTATTGTTATTATTTTAAGCATTTAAAAGAAATCTAAAACCTATCTTATATTTTATAACTTAATCTAATAGTGATAAATTAAAATGTCTTAGATTTCTACTTAAATACCTTAGGCTAATTAAATAAGCCTTACTGACGAAATCTTTTAAAATATTCACTTACTTAGGTTGGGTCTTGAAATTTAGTTCCTATATACCTAAAATTTAATTATTAGACATTCGCTAAACCCATACTATATATATATATATATATTTCAGAATCTATTATTATTAATATAATTTTTTTCCCTTTGATTGGTCGAAAGGTTTGGGCCAACCTTTCTAATGGAACCTCTGTCGCCAGCACTGGCTGGGGGCTCTTTTTTTTTTTTTTTTTTTTTTTTTTCCGCCAACCTTTCCTACTTGATCCATGCCGCCAGCCACTTGCTGGCGACTCCTCTCCTAATTTTTTTTTTCGCATTAAGCTTCAGCAACGGCGCACAATTAGCGCCGCTGTTCTCCCCTCCCCCCTCTTTTTTTTTTCCTTCTTTTTTTTTATAACTTTTCAATAGATTTGGGTAAATCCTATTCATCCCGTAATTAAAATTTAATACCCTAATCCTACTAATCCAAATACGAATCCTCCTAAATCTCCTATATAAGCATATATATATATATATATATATATACATAACATAATATATATATGTAAAATCTTTAAAGTAATTAATGCGACTAATAGAACTTAAAAGAGGAGTTTTCACGTGAATTTAGGACTTATAGGTCTAGGTGCCTAGTTACCTGATTGATTGACAGCGACACCTTCTTCTTCTTCTCTACTCTCTGACAGCTCTTTCTCTAAGGGGAGGCCAACAATGAAAGAGAGGAATGATGTTTTTTTTTTTTTTTTATAATTGTGCTAAACCCTAATAACCACCCACTATTTAGTGGTTTAGATAAGAGTTCAAACTGTTGTGAACTTTTACCCTATCTTATCTCATTCCTATCCCCAATTAACCATTTAACCTATCTTACAATTAATTTTACTTTTACTCATGGTAAATTACCATTTAATTAATTGGGTAAGAATAAAAAATTGAGCCCAAAACCGTGGGTTTTACACGTTAACTCTACAAATAGCGGACCAGCGTGGTAATTGCCTAACTATTGTTTCTACTGCTTTATATTATTTTTGACAATATAATAGGTTTTTGTCTCCATTGATTTTTGTTTCAGCTGCAGGTCCAGTCAAGAACATATATTTTCTTTTCTATCTTGATACAGACACCGCACTCTCTGTTGCAAGAGAGATGGTGGAACAACTGTCATTGGCAAATCATGACGTAGCTTTTATTGTTGATTTTATTGACTATTTGATGTTGAGAATTTTATAGTTGGGTACCCTTGTCTGATGATTATTGAAGTGGGGAGAAAAGGATGTATGAAGGCATTTCAACGGCAGGCCCAAACTTAGTAGCAAGAATATGGTTTTCAACTCCAAGTGGCTCTCCGGCCAAGCTGGGACTCAAGCTAGACAGTCATACTATGGTTAATAACAATTTTCGAATGTATATCATGGCTAATAAAGATAATTCTTGTACCAATACAAATCCAAGTGATACGTCACCTTGCACTGCATTTGACTTTCTTCAACCTGCCACATAAGATGGTGAAGTATCCTGTGGATCAATAACTTCTGAGGTAATGGGAGAAAATACATCGGTTAGGAATGAGAACTTTCTGAATCTCTTGATTATAATATTAGGGAGGTCTCTAAATGTTATAACACTTCTAAGATGGGCTTTACGGAATTCTATAATGACGAATGTAAGATGCAAGAAAATGATTGGGGTGGTGTAGAACATGTAGCTCGGAATGAAGTTGTAAAGAATTATGTAACAAGTTTCACAAATCTAAGTAAAGCTTCTAAAGTTACAAATCTAACAAGCTATTCATCTTTGTAGTAAGGAAACTGAGTTAAAGACAGAGTTAGATGCAACGACATACAACATCAGTGGCTTCAAGAACTATCTAGAATGAGAGAAGGCAATTGAAGCCACCAGCAAAAGATGGATGACAAAAAAGAAATTAGCAGATTATTGAAGGAAAAAGAAAATGAATGCATTTGATTTGTGTATTCTATTTCTTTTTTTAAATTATTGTGGTTTTCAGTACCAAGCAAAACCATCTCTGAAGGCTCGTGAATGTGCAGACTGAAACCTCCTGTATTGGATCTCACCTCCTTTCTAAGAACTTAAAGGATATCATCTAATATCACCTCCTTGTTAACATGCGAGTCCTTATGAGTTATGAGCATGTGAAAATTGCAGATATCACATTAGTGGACCCTTTGATTTCCGTTCATTTGATAAAGTGCATTTTACATACCAATTCCTGTGATGTTGAGTAAAATTCTTGCGCCCGCACTGGATTGTTCTCATGGTAGAGGCGGGGTCACTACTCCAAGTCTGTCTGAGTTCAATTGCAATCCGTAACCTAGTTATTTATCGTTCTAGGTATCAGTTGGACCCGCTCTGTCTGGACGCTGTGAGATTAGTCGGGTAGTTCTGGATACCCACAGTGCCAAAAAAAAAGAGTAAAATTCATGCATTAGTCATAGCAAAAAGTTGGTGATATTGTCAGCGTAAAACTTTCCTGCTAGAGCGATTTTGCTTTGAACACTCAAATTTTTCTCAATTGGTCAAAAGCAAGCCTAGTGACTATTGCCTTTTTCTCCTTTTTCACATTTCCTCCTTCCAAGCTCTACTGTCTTTTCGGCTTTCCCAATTAAGGGTACAATTTGTAGATGCAGGCTAGCCTTTTCTTCATCAGCCCATGACTTTGTCCTTAACACATCTACTTGGTATCCCCCATGGATACGTGGACGGATTCCTTACCTTTTCGTTACTCGATGTTTGGCATATAAATAAGATGATGGACAGAGCTCGTGGTACCATAATATTACGAAAAAGGCACTCTTAAATTATGGAGGGCTGCATTTGAAAACATTGGCAATTTCATGTCATTTCTGCAAAAGAAACAAGTTTATGCATTCAAAATTGGAAGCGGGAGACAAGGATCCTCATTATCTTCTAGATCAGTTCCTTTGTTGGATCTTTGCTATTTGCACCGTATTGGTTTGGACTTTTGGTTTGTTCCATGGAGTCAACAGTGAAGGCCATAGAAAACATGAACTGGCTTTATAATTTTAACCCTCTTTCAATAGCCATACATGCTGGATTTGTTGAAGCTAGGACAAACACAGTAAGAAGAAAAGAGAAGAAAAATGTCAAAAAAGAACCGGTGATTTCTCCTTTCTTCCACCTTCAAGGCAGCTGTGCTCTCCATATCTGAGGCCCCAAAAGTGTTAGGGTAGCTGTTTTCTACCATATCTGAGGCCCCAAAAGTGTATTCGGTACACAAGGAGAGAGGAAGCTGCATTGGCATTGACCCTTTAGTTTAGTGGGAGTTTTGAGTTTGCCTAGTGAAGGGCATTTCAATATTTTAGAGCAAAATTGCTCTGCTCTAGCAATGCAATAATGCCAGGCATAGCAAAATGACTTTCATTTGCTTATTTATTTTTGAACAACTCAAAAAATGTACTTGGCATAAGTTGAGGAAGACCCTTCTTTTAAGAGTTTTTTTATACTTAGAATCACGAGGAAGATAAGATCAGGCCTGACTCAATCTCCAGCCATCACATAATGGCCCAGTTTTTCTGCCAACTGCAGGGAAACTCCAGTTGAGGAAGACCGTTAGTCTAATTCTCAAACAAATGGTCAACAGAAACGAAATAGCAAAGCAGAAACTTTCAACAGACATAAAACGACCCGAGCACATCTATCAGGATGGTGAAAATTATGACTAATTAAAGAAGGTTAGCTCTTGGTTTTCAGTTAGCTTAACAGAACTATGAGAAACGAAGAGGCAAGTATAGATCATTCCAGGTAGCACACAACAAACAGTCATAGGCACGGAGCCTCTGCAAAAACACCAAGATGCTTAATGCTGAATTGATAGAAATACAACCCAGTCAACGAGTAATGCTTCCCCTAAAAAGAGTAACTTCATGGAAAACCAGCAGTAAGCCAAAAGATTTTGCTTGAATAGCAATGTTAGTCTTCTTTCCAATTGTGTCTACATTTCTTGCATGTGTAATAGGTTGTCATCGGCTCATCAGCAGATCTGGTCTGTTGTTGACCAAAGGCTGCCTTAAGATAACCACAGTTAGGACACGGAGCTGGAAGAAAAGAAATAAAGAATCAGTACCAAATTACGTATGTAATCCTATTGAAGTTTTAGCAGTTTCTGCGCCTCAACCAGATAGCTCAAGCTTGCTTTGCCCAGATTAAATCTACACCAACCTAATAAAGCATTCAGGGAAATGATAGCACTTAGACATGATTCTGGATCTAAACATACATTGAAAAGTAACTTTAGCAAGAAGATTTCTAATTAAACCCCTACCTGCCCTACAAAGCAGAAATGCAAGCTAGAGAGAACTTGATATTGGTTATGCTGGAAATGACTTAAGAAACATGCAATGGATCCAAAAACAACACCTGAAGCTCTATGAAACTTCTTAATTCAAGCATGCACCAGTCAATCAAACAGAGGATGTATACAAGAGTACAGCAAATAACAAACCTTCAGTTTCTGGTAAATTGTCAAGCTCGTCGTCTTTGGAAATGATAGGATCTAGTTCTTTCTTAACTAACCGATGCTTTCTTTTTATTTTAACCTGCCGCATGCATTGATAACTCAGCAATGACACAGTAGACATTGTGAATAGCCAGTAAATAAACCCTCAACAAGGATTTATAATGGCTTACCTTACTATCTATGTGACATACATACGGGCATGTTGGACAGAAGAATCTGGCAGGGCGGTCCATATGTGGCAATTCTCTGAATAACATCCCACAAGTTGGACAAAATTCCATTGCAGTCACTTTGTAATCCACTATTTATGTACGTCTCTACAAGTTAAAACAAAGGGGTAAAAAAAAGAAGGTATTGTAACATAATACTCACTCGGTTGTTTAACTTCACAACTTAAAATAAAGAAGTAATACATATGCAAGATGCACAAAAATGGAGCACTAACACACAGTGGCCATAAATAAAGGAAAAGAGATATCTAGATGATTAGAAAAGAAAACAAACTCTTTGATTTGACTCAAAACCATGAGCATTTTCATTCCTTTCTGTTGTTTACCTTTCCTCACACACTCTCTCTCTTCTTTATTTTCCCTTCCTTTCTCTTTCTCCCTAATCCCAGAAGAGTATATGCGCAACTGAATGAATATTTAAGACACTCAATATGAATATACACAAGTTTCTAATCTTGTATATCTACATTAAGGGGATAATAGATATACACAAAATCACTGATGTAAATCAGTCATTCAACGGCTTTTTGTAGTTGTCAGAATCAAAGTTAACATTGGGTTCTGAGATCTTCTTATCCTTCCTTGTACAAAACCCAGCATCTATAGATCCAAAAGCAAAAGGAAAGAGCATCCTTTTGTGTTTGCAATTGCTTGGATGGGGGAGTGAGAACTTGCGGGCCTGAGGAGCTGGTACTTGAGGGTTAAAGATTCAGTCAGCAAGAGATGGGGAGAATATGCAATACTTGGGATTTACCCTTTGTAACAAACTAAATGCCAACTCAATTCCTCATTTCCTCATTGTTTGATTGATTACAAGCCATGTGTTTTATGTACAAGACATGCAGCATCATATTCAAGAGTGAAAAATCAGATGGGACACAAAAGGCAGAAGATATTTGACAAGTCAACCCTTAATTTACAAAAAGAACATGAATCACCATGGAATAACCTTTGCATAATAAGTCTGAAAAAAAAGGGCCAAAACCAAACTATTGGGTATTTAGAATTTAGCAGAGAGAACAACTGTGCATATGGTTCACAAAATCCTAAACCCTTCACAATGCACACATTATAACGCCAAATCAACCATAATTAGTCATCATTTGAAAGCTAACATGGAGAAGAATATCATTAGCAATCGGACGCAGCAATGGAGTTAAGCTACGGGAAAATTTTCTTCATCTAAACCATTAACAATCGGACAGCAACAATGACAACTTTTAGACCTACCTATTTCCCGCAGTTGGACGAAGCAGCAACGGTGGTGGCACTTATTTTCGGCGATGGGTTTGACCCAATTCGTCTCTTGTTTCGCACTTGTCGGACAAGCGAAAAAAATAAATCTCTCTAATTGTAGCAGCTCAAGCTGGATTCGGCATAAGTAGACATTTTAATGATGAATTTGGGCTCAATTTGGGGTTGATTTGTGTTCTCAATTTCGCTGGGTAAACCTTAGGCTTTTAAATTGGGAGGCTTCGGTGCTAAAAGGCCGATGGTGGTTTTTTCCTTAACATAACATAATGCAAGCTATGTCGTCTTTTTTTTTTTTTTTTTTTTTTTTTTTTGCAAAATGCTCCAATGACGCTAAAATTATTACGCAATTTAACAATCAAGTCGCTAACTATTTATTAATAATTTTTAACACTTCAACTAATCAAAACATATAATTCTAACCCTTTCATCAAATTAAGCCATTATGTTTGACCAAATAGCACGACATGTATAGCAGTGACGCTCAAACTATTATATAGTTCAACTTTTGTCCATTTAACTATTAATTGATAAATTTTACCTTTCCAACTACTTAAAATGTATAATTCTAATTTTTTTTCCAATGGATCTTCAGTCTCAAACCTCCTGATTCACTTCCTATCTCGCTTGTTCTTATAGTGCCAAGTGTCATTTAATAAATCAATTCTAAACCCACTCAGACCACATTAAGTTAACCGAATAGCCAACCAAATAACCAAGTAGAGAAACAAAATCTGTATAACTAAAACCCATTAACATAAAAATCTTCCAAAAGTCACTACTAAAGAAGAGGGAAAAAATATTCCCAATATCACGATTAAGAAGGGAAAAAAAAACCCTAACAACCTCCTTTTGTTCTCTTCTTTATCTCTCATCTCCATTGCAAAAGCAGCCTCCTAAAATCACAATTCAAAAATTAAGGGCAAATTATACTTTACCTTCATATGGTTTCTCAATAAACCACATAACCCCCCCCAACATGATTCTAAAAGCTATACATAACCTCCCCTGTGGTTTGGGTTGAAATGTCTAACAAATGGAAAGCATCAATCGTGATATTTCGTGGCCAAATGTCCAAATTACCCTAATATATATGAGGACACGAAAATTCCTTTAGAATTTTTTCTCATTTTTGAAAAATTAATTTATATTTCCTTCTATATTTCTTTACTTGGCTATTTAACTATTTACTAGCCCTAACTTTTATGGTGATTTCATTAGTTGAGTCAAGAGTTTTACTTTTACTTTTAAAGTTAGAGTAAGTTAAGGTTTTAGTGCATTTTGGTAGTATGATCAATTGGTGAGGTGTGTTCACTAAATTTGGTGGATAAGAGTGAGTATTAGGTAAGAGGAAGTGTGTGGTTAGAAGTGCTAATAATAAGTTAGTGAATCATAAGTTAAAACAAAAGTACAAGGGAGTTAAGGGAAATATGTTTGAACCGACGTGTGCCATTTGTTAGAGTACACCGCTTGACCAATACTTTCTTACCCTAATATCCTTGTTTTTATTTCATTTAATCCCCTAAAAATCCTTAAGTCAGCCACCATTATTGACTAAGGAAAAGGAAAAGAAAGACAAAATAGTTGGGTGACACTTGTCAACCCTTCAACCAAATGTTGACCAAGATTAGTCTTTGTATTTATCTTGGAAAAATTGAAGATAAACCATCACTTTCTTGCACCATGATAGATGAAATTGAGAGAGAAAAGAAGAGAGAAAACATTTCCAAATTCCATCTTGATTTTCTTGCTTGATTTGTGAAAAATCCAAACACTAACCCTAGTCCATACTGATTAATCTTGAGTTAACCTTAGAGGGAAGCTTTGGTGAGTTACTTGAGGAAGAAAGCTCTTGAGTTGCTTGTTATCTTGGGATTTTGAGGTAAAATTTCTAGAAAACATTTCTTTTTATTTGTTTCTTGAGATTGATGCAAGATATGTTGTGATTGAAGTTGAAGGAAGCATGTTTTATGGTAATTTCATGGTTTTGCTAGGGTTTGGTGAAATTGTTGCTAGGGTTTGGTTCATTTTCAGCCTAGATATATATTGGTTATAGCTAGTTTTGTGGTTAAAATAAGTACTCTATGTATCATATATCTTGTGAACTTGATTGGGGCTGTCTTGTGGTGAAAGTATAGCCTTGACATGGCTAGAAAAATTGGTAAATATAAAGGAAGTGCTGCTAAAATTTTTTTCACAAGAGACTTTGAGCAATCTTAGAAAATATATCATATCTTGGTGTCGAAAAATTTAAATTGAGTTCTGTTTCTTTCGTTTGAAATTAAATTCAGAGTACTTTCTACCGTGAAAATTTCAGAATTTTCCTCAATTCCTATGAATATCTGTGATTTTCCAAATTTGACTAAATTTCCATTCCTATTCTGTCTTTCTACTGGATAAAGCAGCCACTTGAGATTGAATTTTGATTGATTTGTGGATAGAATCTTGCAAAGTTTCTTCTAAGAAATTGTAACTATTTGAATCCATTTTCCAACGGTATAAAGTTTATAAATTTTGGACTTAAGAAGCTTGAGATATGATTTTCAAAATAGCATCACGCAAAATTGAAAAATTTCTGTTTTCCTAAAATTGTTCTTATTTTCATTTCCAACTTTAAATTGGAGTTGTTAAACCATTTTGAGTTTGGTTTATGATTGGAATGAGGAAATTCTTGGTTATTCATGTTCCTTGGTCTAAATGTTCTCTTTTCACTCCAAAACCATATTTGCACCTTTGTATTAGTAGTTATTCGGATTTCTTTGGTTCACCTAAATTTCGGATGGTTGAACCATAATTTATTCCCTTGGTTATTTTTAGGGTTTGTCGGTAATCAAGGGCATAGCTCGCCAAGGAAACTTTTGACATTATTTTACTTAAACTGGTGAGTGTTCTTTGCATGTTATACTTCCAATAACTATGTAGATTGTTGTGAATGTTTGCTTAAATGTTAAATGTATTTTCAATGATTATTAAATGAATTTTCAATAGGCGAGTGTGTGTTGTATCGCACTCAACCTAAGTGAACGTGAAATTTTCAATAATTAAATGATTGAATGTTACTTGTGCATGAATGTAAGTCTTTTGGCTGAACTGTGCCCTTGCCCTTCGTTGCCAGTCGACTCGAGCCAGAAGCGGACTCGGTCGGGTGGCTGGTGACCCTGGGACAGTGTTTTGGTATAGTCGAGTATTACTACGAAGTCTGTGTGAGAACTGGCCAATGAATTCAATGCAATAAAATCAATGAATGAGTGACAATGAATACTGAAGGAGTTTTCACTGTTAAATGTTTCCAAATGAAGGAGGAATAAGGAAATGATTGGTGACTGAATGACTGAATGAATGCCTCCAAGTGAGCACGTATCCTTCCAATGAATGAATGTTTATTTCATGAATGACTGTTTATTATTATGCAAAGTGTTCAAACTGTTAAATACCATACTTCCATGGTTTATCTACCTGATTGCTTGTTTAGAAACCTCACTTGCCTTTTAGCTCATTCCTTTAGTTTTGTTTTCCTTACAGGAATGGAGGTCCGGAACAATTGAAAGTGAACTAGAGTGTGTAACCCTCTTGTACTCTTGGTTGATAGGTTGTGTTTTGACATTTGACGTTGTATCATACATTTGGCTTTTGGGTTGTAAATAAGTTTGCATTTTGATTGAATTGTAGAACTTAAATGTTATTTTAGAGGTTTGAATGATTAATCTTGAGAGTTGATTGAGTGAGTGAATGAGTCCTACCGAGAGTTGGGCAGGCGGTCCGCCAAATCCTTGGATACGCCCTAGGGGGAGGTGGGGTCG